AATTTGGCTTTTTTTAAATGAAAAATGATGAATAAAATAGTTTAAGTGCTGAAACATGGCCTTTATGATATTTTAGGCTGCTTGTTTCTGACAAGGTGAGAGCAGAGAAGTGTTTATTTCTATAACTGGCGTTGTTGTATAGGGATCTGTATTCAATCTGAGATGTAAGAGTTTCATTAGTGAGTTCTAACGGAGCCATAATTCAGTGTTGAAAAGTAATAAAAGTAAAAGAATCAGACTGAACTTCCTGCTCTGTGTCTCAGCTCCTCTTTTCTACCGACCACCTGAGTGGCTCCACCTCAGACTGAAGGCCCCCCATCAGAGCAGCTCGTGTACCTGCCACATGCTGAGGCTTCATAGGGCCCGTCTTCATCAGGAAGGGTTCTCCTCCCTCGAAGGCCAGGATGGGTTCTCCCACCATCCCGCTCTGCTGCGGACCGGCGTTTCCGCCGCCGCTGTTCAGCTGGATGATCTCCTCGAAGTCCGCCGACTCCCCGTTGGCTGAGACGCCGTTCTGGTGCGAGCTGGGCTGGACCCCGTTCACGACGAGGCCGGAGACGCCTGCAGGGGGACCCTGAGGGTTTCCAGGAGCTGCAGGAAGACCAGCGGGTTAATGACCACGTTCTACAAGCCGGAGGCAGAACCAACAAACATCTGGATCACTGCAGTCACAGCATCAGTGTAATGGTTTATCTTCAGAGTCTACAGATGGTTCTGGTGTGTTCTGGAGGTCCAACGGTCCTTCCATCGTCTAGAACTGGTTCTGACCAACCACCATCACACATGCTGGTATGAGCCTGGAAAGTTTACCCAGAATGCACTTTGTAAAGTTTCCTCTGGTGAAGGATCAGAACCAGAACCACATTCGGGTCGTTCTGGATACGTTTGAGGTTGGTCGGATGAGTTCTGAATAATTTTGGACACATCTGAAATGACTTTGGTCATTTTTTTGGTCACGTTGGTCCATTTTTAACTCGTTTAAAACATGTTGTGAACAAATTCAGACAGTTTTTTAATTCTATTGGTGAAGTTTTCACTCACTGTGGAAACATTTCTGGACCTTATGAGTAAGTTTTTAGTATTTCTGCAGAATTTTTGAGTCATTGTGTGAAACTTTCTGCCATTTTGAAAAGATTTTAAGACAAACTGAACCAGAACCACATCCAGGGTACCAATGATTGTTTCTATGACTCTGTGTCATAGACATTAACCTGGTACCACTATGAGACATCCCATAATACTGATGCTACCAGCTGCTGGACTGTTTTCGAGTTATTTTGGTCAAGTTTTTAGTCATTGTGGAAACGTTTCCAGGCGTTCTGTTCAAGTTTGAGGTATTTTGGAGAAATTCTGAGTCATTTTGGGCATTTTTCTGCCATTTTGGACGAATTTTAGGGAAACTTGGGATACGTTTGAGGTCTTTTACACAATCTTTAGCTCATTTTAAACATTTTCTTTAAGTTATTTTGGACAAACAACAAAAACCAGGTCCAGTGTTCAGACTGAGACACCAGGATGGATCTAGAACTGATCTGGTGTCAGGTTCTAGCAGAACCCAGATGTGTTCTTCCTCCTAAATGTCATGTGTCTGTTTGCTGTACTGATGAAGTTCTGAGGCTCAGAACTGATGGAAAAAGTCCATTAAAGTGATCAATCTGGACCCTCCTCTGTGGACTTGAAGGACCTGGACCTATTCACAGTGTGAAGGTAGAACTCTGGTCAGTGGATAAAGTCCGACATGAGGGGTGAGCGGTACCTTTGCTGAGCTCTGTGTCNTTTTTTTTTACATGAGTTTGCAGCAGCGTTGCTCCTCTTGCTGCCCTCTGATGCTGCGGATGTGAGTTCAGTTTAACACTGGTTGTTTTGGCACGCCGTTGATAAGCCGCTGTGGTGGCATGAATCTCGTAGCTGAGCAGAGACGTAAGGCTCCGGGGATGTGTGGCCGACTCACAGGACCTCTGCAAGACAAGGACAGCACCGGGACCGAGGGTTAGACAGAGCACGGCGCCGTCTTTGGTTCTGATTCTGACCGGGGCGGCCGCCGGACAGACGCTTAAACAGAAGTAAATCTTCATGCAATCGTAATTAAGTGACACTACTTTTCATGGAAGAGTCAATTCTTTGTAAATTCATGTTGGAAATGAATCACGATTCAAAAAAGGGGAAAAGTTCCTGCTGCAGGTGAACGATGAGCAACAACCGCTCAAATTCAAAGAGTTCTTCTGCACAAATTTGTCAGTTTTCTGCATAAATTCATGCCAAAAATGATTAAAAACAAACTAAAATAACTCAGATATTCATGTCTCAGAAGCTGAATTTATGAAATATTTTGCATTTATTAAAGAAAACTGTGATTAAATTTATATAATCTACAACAAGACGAGCAAAAATTAATTAAAAACAGTTAAAAAATAACCTACAGTAATTAGAATCTTCACATCTCAGAATCTGGATGAATCTCGTAATGAATGAAAAATACTTTATTCATCCCAGAAGGGAAATTCAATAAATAATGATAATGTATATATGATGTATATATAATAATAATGACGATGGTAATCAAAATAGTTTAATGTACAAGACGACATGATGTTTATCAAAAATATGTAACAGAGCATCAAACAGTGAAACTCCTGCTTCCAGAGTGTTTATCTGCATCAGCTCATGTCAAAAATGCTAAACAACAACAACAAACAAATAAAAGAATCAACATATTCACATCTAAGAAGCTGAATTCATTAAATATTTTGCTTTTTCTTTAATAATTATCATGAATAAAATAGAATCTACGACCAAATGAGCCTTAAGTGACATTATTTTGTAGAAATCTGTCTTTTTTGTAAGTTCTTGTTCAAAAACTCAGATTAAATTGACCCTGATTTAATGTTTACAGGAACAAAAGAGGAAACTTGGGCTCTGTTGACCCACATGGTCACAGATATCGTCCCCCAGCAGGTTCTGAGCATCAAATACTCAACCTCCAGCATGAATTTTATGAACCATTTTGAGCCTTTTCAGCATCAATTCCTGCTGAAAATGACTCAAAACAAACAAAAATAACTCAAA